TTGACAGAACCCAGCACACTGTTCTGCCTGGGGCCGCCCGGCGTCTGGAATCGCTGCTGTTCCCCGCGGGCGCACGCGCAGGTTTCACGGGTGTTCGGCGGCTCCGGCCTGACTTGGCCGCGGGGGAGGGACGGCTCGTCGGGCTGCTCTGTGCCTCTGCTCAAAGAGCCCGGGGTTGCACCGCCCACGCTCCTGCCTGACCCCCGGCTCCGCTTCCACCACCACGTCCCCCTGCAGCCACAGTGAGACGCAAGCGCGGCCTCCGGACCGGACACTTCCTTCCTGTGTCAGTTCCCCCACCCGCCCTCTGCTCCCCAAGCCCAAGTCTCTCCTGACCCAGATAACCTGTCCCTTTTGTCTAGGAGGGTGACAGCGGGCATGATAGCTGGGTTCAGTGTTCTGAGATTTCTGGATGCCACGTGGGTAGTCAGTCCATTTGGGGTTTCACAACTCCCCAGAAGGCAGGGGTGGGCGGGGAGAGTGTGCAGTAATAACCAGAGCAAGTATTTATGAAACCCCGTGTTACACCAAACACTAAGAACAGCAGGTGCCTGTAATCCCACACCTTTGGGAGGCCGAGGTGAGTGGATTGTCTGAACCCGCGGGTTCGAGACCCACCTGGGCAACTTGGCAAGACCTCACCTCTACAAGAAATCAAAAGGAGCCGGGCGTGGAAGCGCGTGCCTGTGGTTCCAGCTACTTGGAAGGCTGAGGCGGAAGGACCGCCGGAGCCCAGCAGGGCGAGGCTGCGGGGGCCGGGAGCGGCCACTGCACTCCAGTCTGGGCGGCAGAGTGAGACTCCGACTCAAAAAAAAATAAAAAAAAAAAAGAACAGCAGGTACTGCTTTTAGGATTTTATTCCTGGTTGTGTTCTAGCCTCAGAAGTGGTCACATTTCCCAGATACAACAAACTCCAGAATCCAGGTCACCGACATCCTGTCATACCCGCTCTGTCACCCACCTGACTGACATCTGCTGTCAACCCTCTGTTATCCATCCACCCGTGTCTACCTATAATCCACCTGCCTTTCCATCAAGTATCCATTCTCTCTTGTCTGTATCATCAACCTGCCTGCCTATCTCATCTATCAGTCCGTCCATCCATCCATCCCAGACCTACTCCCCATGCAGGCTGCCTCCTGCCTCGTCACTTGGCCCTCCTAGGGCCTAGCATGTGGTCCCATGCTCCCGTGGTTACACACATGTGGCTCCATGAAGGCTTCACCTTGCCAGGCACTTTCAAAATGAAAACGCTGAAGCCCCGGGAAGTTATGCTCGGCCTAGAATCCGGCCGGGGAGATGTGCCCTGCCTGGACGCCCCCCAGCTTCGGGCCCAGCCACTCGGCTCCTCTAGGGATTGCGACCTGGCTGCAGGGTGGGCCTGGAGTCCCCAGTGTGAGTGAGGACCGGCCGGGGCGGGGGGGGCACCCACACCTCAGGGCGTCCCAGGACGTCTCCAGGGTGAGTGGGCGAGGGCGGCTACGCCCCGCCTGTGCCTTCCCAGGCACCATCTGTCCTCTCGCTGTCCGAACACACCCTGCACTCCCTCGATACTCTACCATTTCCTTGCATCTTATTTTTCGTTAAAAGTATTTGAAGCTTATGTGGTGACTCTGAAATGTATCTTCTCCTGCCCCCAGGATTTGCTGGCTTTGTTCTACTGTCTTAGGATAGAGTCTGTGCCAGAGATCAGTCTGAGCTATGACCTTGCGATCTTCTCAGGTCTTCTGAGCACGTGTCCTTTGGAAATGGGCTGTGCCTTTTTAAATTTCCCTGAACATGCAGCTGCAAAAAGAAAAACAGAGAGGAAAAAAAGGCAGAGGAACCAGGCATGGCCCTTCACGGTCCCTTCTGCCTGTCCAGCAACAGCGGCTTCCGTGTCTGCCCTCCCGCTAGAGGCAACCGAAGGTCAGAACACAGATCCCCGGATTTGGAGGACTGGTCCTTTGTGCTTTCAGACCCCCTCAGGCAGCTCCGCAAGTGCAGCTGCCTGCCATGGCTCTGGGTGTCGGGGGACGGGTCGGCACTGCATGCCAGGGCTGAGATCACCTGCAATTTACTGGCCAAGCCTTCCTCTGTTAAGCTCAGGTCCCAAAACCGTTCCAATGGACAGATTCCAGCAGCACAGCTGTCCAGGTCGAGATGGACTGCAGGCACTTCCCACCCTGTCGTCTTCCCTGAGGATTCCTAAAGACAACCCTTTCCAGCAAGGCCCACATGGGCTGACAGTTAAGTTCACAAACTTGCCACAACGTGCCGGTGTTGGCAGCAGTATACAAGCCACTCAGTAAGGCTTGAGCTTGGTATGTCTGTCTCACAGCTGTGTTCGTGCCAACATGCGGTAGTGTCTTGCTGAGTGGCGTTCATTACTGTTGCTGCATGTTTTTGTGTGCTGTCGTGAGAGTGTCAGAGCTTGTATTAGAGCAAGGAACAAACATTACATTTCTTGTTAAACCTGGCACGAGTGGAAGTGAAATCAGGGACATGTTAGTCCAAGTTTAGGGGGATAATGCCAAGAAGAAAATGGCTATGTAAAAGCAAATTAAACGTTTTTCTGAGGGGAGAGAAAGCATCACTGATGACAAGTGGTCAGGACAGCCAAGAACGAGCGGAACTGATGAAAACACTGTAAAAATTCATCAAATTGTGCATCAAAATCATCAAATTGTGCATCAAAATCATTGGCCGGGCAACTCCTTTGGGTCCCTTCCCACTGTGGGAGCTTTTCTGTCCTCTCAATAAAAGCTGTTTCAAAAAAAAAAAAGAAAAAAAAATATCCTTGGCTGTGAGAATAACAGACCAAACAAACATCGACAGAGAAACGGGAAAATCTTCACTGGAACTCTTGGCGTGAGAAAGGTGTGTCCCAAAATGGTCCTGAAGGAGCTCTCGCATCACAACGCACCCACTCACTCGGCACTGCCGCAAGGGAGTTTGTGGCCCGTCGACAAACAACTGTATTGGAACTCCCTCCCTACTCACCTGGTCTGGCCCCCAATGACGTTTCTTTCCCCCAAAAGATAAAGGAACTACTGAAGGGAAGACATTTTGATGACAACAGGACATCAAAAGTAATACAATGATAGCACTGTTGGCCATTCCAGAAAGAGTCCCAAAACTGCTTTGACAGGTGGTGAAAGTATTCCCCATAGGGAGTACTTTGTCTTTTTTTAAAAGCAGGATTTATTAAGACAGAAAAGCTCCCAGTGGGAGGAGACCCAAGGGGGTTGCCCCACAGGGAGTACTTTGAAGGTGACCATAGTGGCACCCAGCAATGAGGTATGCAGCACATTCTCTAGGATGAGTTGGCGAATTTGTCAGACCCCATATATGAACATTTTCTTTATGTCCCCACAACGCAATACTACAACATCAACACATCTACGTAGAAGAAGAAAAGCCTTGAATTACATCACAGGCAACGGAAGCCGGCACAGGCTGGTGTGCCCTGCTGGAGCCCCAGGTGACAGGGGCCTTGCGAGGAGCATCTGTTTCTGGGCACATACAAAGGAAGTGGCAACAGCAGTGTTAGTCTGTGGTCAAGAAGGGACGTCGCAGGCCTTTAGTATTCGAGCATGTTCACCTGCGACCTCGTCTGTGATAGAGGTTTCGAGTTTACACCCACTGCACGATTTACTCTATTTAAAATGACTGAACAGCAGCTCCCGGGAGGCACTTCTGTAGTAGTATTAGGGGTGTTCTGTGTTTTACAGATCATGTAATTTTAGCAATGGACCACAAAAACAGGAGAGGTCCACATTTAATTGCTGTGATGCCTCAGGCAACATTCTATACCCCCAAAAGGTATTTTGGCTTTGAAAACAAAAACAAAAAATGCCATGTATCTTTTCCCCCTCTCATCTGGTCAAGTCAGTAGTGATTTGTAACTAAACAAACAAGCAAAAAGAGCAAAACTACTTTTCTTCTGGAGGTTTATTTTAGATAAAATAGTCGAAGCCAGGCTACATCGAGACGTTGCACAAAAAGACCAGAAAGTAATTTAGACTGTTTTTAAGTGGGGGGCTCTGATGATACACTCACAAATGTGTTTGCTCCCAACCTCTGACAAAGAAAACATGGTTTCTCCACCAAAAACCACAGAGTCACACCAGCGAATCATTACAGTTCTGCAAACCTGAAGCAGTCAATCCACTTCCAACCTCTATGCGGGTTAACCAGTGCTCAGCAAAGCAACAAGTGCCTTACCAGCTTTGACTGTCTTGTCAACTTGGATCATGACTCCCCTCGATGCAAACATACCATGCCAAGCCGAGAAACAGCAGCAGCCGTCTAGCCAAGCCGTGTCTACGGTCAGGACGCTACCTCCGGTCCTTCTTGCCGGCTTTCCTCTTTCCAGAGAGCAAGTGCTTGGGCTTCGTGTCAAACACGTGTCTGTCTGCCTCGCCCTTGCGCCCCATGCGATTCATCTTCTTCTGCGCATTCTTCATCATCGTCTTGGCTTTCTTCACCATCTACACAGGAGGAGAAAGCCAAGTACATTAACAAGCGAAAACCCAGCCTCCGCCCTGAGTGTTGATGGCCGGTGGCGGCTTGTCTCCACGGTTCGGCCAGCCTGGTGAAGAGACCCTGAGTCTCGTTCAGGGTGCTCCCTCAGGCCTCCCCGTATCTGCAGAAGCTCGGGAACATTACACAAACTGGGTGAAAACAGTATCTAGGACAGGCTTACACCAGCACGTTTTAAACCCCGAAGGCTGGACCGTACATGTTTTGACTCCCTCTCACACGGACTAAGGACCCAGGCCTGTGGGACAGTACTAGTCACATCTGATTGACAAGTGGCAATGCCACCATGAAAACCCAAATTTCCAGATGGAAATGGCCTGGTGGAAAGAAAAACTCAGGCTCCATAAAGTGGACTGCTTGCCAGCTTACACAGACTTTCAAGATGCTAAAACTAAACATTTTTGTGTTTATAATAGTAACTCAAGGCTGGGTGCAGTGGCTCATGCCTGTAATCCAAGTACTTTGGGAGGCCAAGGTGAGAGGATTGCTTGAGCCCAGGAGTTCGCGGCCAGCCTGGGCAACACAGCAAAACTGAGTCTCTAGGTGTGGTGGCGTTCCCCTGTAGTCCCAGCTACTTGGGAGACTGAGGTGGAAAGACAGCTTGAGCCCAGGAGGTTGGGGATACAGAGAGCTGTGAGGGACAAAATGAGACCCTTACTCAAACAAAAAAAAAAAAGACTCAGGTTGCCAACTTTGGGGGGAAAAATTCCCACAACACGAGGACCAGCAGGATCCCCCGGGGATCCACTCGAACCGTTCCTTCTGGGCTGCTCCTCGGGTGGGCCTGCAGCTGACTGCTGGTGCTACTAGACCACACTTCCGCCCACCGTCCAGAAAAGGAAAGCATCAGGGAACGGTGACCCAGGGCAACTGTCCAGAGGCATCTGCCTGCACCCTGGCTCCAGCCTGCCTCCAAAGGACGCCACGAAGCCAGGAGCGCAGCACACACTGGACCCAGGCCCGAAGCTCCTGTCCCTCCAAACGACAAGGGTGGTGTCTGCCCCAAGCCCTGTGCAGACCCCCAGGGCACATCACCAAGCCTGACCTTGACGTCCCGAAGACCAGAAACGTCCCGCGGAGCTCGGGAGCAACTCCGGCTCCGGGCCACGGAGGAGAGTGGAGCAGAGTCTTCGCGCTTCCTTTTCCGAGTGACACTCCGAGATCGTCTCGCCTGGACTGCATAGTGGGCCTGGAAAGCAGCAGAGAAAGCCTCAGTGCTCGGGGCCCGGCCACAATTCCAGGGCAGTGGCAAACAAGAGGCTGCTCCCACCAGAGGGGAGGACAGTCATCACCCAAGCCGAAGAGCAAGGGTTTCCACTCAGAAGTTGCTCCATGTCACAAGGCTGACTTTCACTCAAACACACTTAGAACTCTCCATTCAAAAATGATCACTGCAGTTTACGTGTCATAAGGGTGATCTCTCCCTCACCCCTCCATGTCAGGGTTACCTAACTGAACATGATGTGACAGCCATCAGACAGAAGCTGAGCCCTGAGGGTCAGCAAAGACAGGCAGAATGCCCATCTGAGAGGGCGGGTCTGTAGCCACACCCCTTATGGCCCAACTCTGCCTCGCGCTGGCCGAGAAAATTCAAGTAAGCCCCTTACCCTTGCTCGTCGTGGCTCTCTGGTCTGCAAAACATGGAGAACACAACTACTGCGAGAGGCAAGCAGGCATTAAGTCCAGCACGTCACAGTCAAATGTCAGAAACTTTATGTATGTTAAAGCGCTCTCCACGCAAGCACACGTGAAGCAAAAAGGCACTTCTGTACCCTGCCAATTAAATCCACACTGTTCTAACCCTCTTGGGAGGAAACTGCAAGACATTGCAGTCCTCCTGAGTTTGGTAATCCCACTTCTGGGAATCTATTTTGAGAAAATAACCCAGAACAGGAAAAGGTTCTTTTACACAAAGACATATAGGCTCCAGCATAATTCGTAACAGCAGAAAGTCAGAGTCCTACTAGACATCAGCAATGCCTCTCATCTGTGAGCTTCCGGAAGAGTTTTGATCTGTTTAGAGCCTAAAATCCACTCGTCTTGAGATTCAATAACACCTCATTTATTTGGTAACTCAACCGAAGCGAGTCAGAGTACCAAAGTCACTTGTGCCGGACATCCAAAACTGTATCTGCTTTATCTATCCCCTTTGACATTCAAGTGCAATTTACATTTTCCCCTGAGGTTAATTCTTTTCTGTTTCTCACACATCATCTTAAATTCTTTAAGGCGATAGCAAATGAATGAATTTTTAATCTGCAAACAATTCAAAAGGTCTACTAAAATAAAGGAATTAAATTTTGTCGCACAATTAAAACTGTGACTAGTTTACCCTAAGATTAAAGGAAGAACCAGAAATATAAAAAAGTGAATAAAAAGGTATCTCTCACAGTTCAGCCTACTTAATTTTTGTGTGATATAATGACAGTAATTATTCTCTCATTTTCAGAACTTCCAAATTTTCAATTCATAAAAATGGAAGATAACACGTACACAGACAACAAGGACAGATGTCAAAAGCAAAGCCACTGGGGTCATCTTGCACGACTGATATTGATCAAATAGGGACGTTAAGTAACACACAGCACACCAGCCCACTCTCAGGGAGGAGCTGAGAGGAAGGACGACGGTGCATGCAAGGCTGTCCACAGCTCTTCCCAAAGGCGAGCGTGCAAACACCCCGACCCACTTCCTGAGAGAAAATCGGGGCAGAGGGGCTGGCGCACTGAACTGTCAACCCATCACTTCACACCAGAAGCTGTACAGTAGGTTTCCTCCGGAGAAACACTGCACGTTCTCATTTCTTTCTGCTGTGATTTCCCGCAGGATTCCAAGTCCCTGGTTTTCTCGAGAACAAAGCTGTGCCCAACCACATTAGGTCAACACCCTACCTGTCCCTACACACTCACATCGTCGTTACTGTCCATGTCAACACCAAGGCTCCGCATCTCATGCTCTAAAACTGTCCGCTGGACCTGAGAAAGGAAAAAAGATATTTGCTTGATGAAATTAGTTTGATGGTGTTAAAAAGAAGTTCAAGGGAAAATACCATACCCTTGACAATAATCTATGGTACACTTATTTTAGAAGTTGTCATTTTTGGGGCATGGGGGCCAGCAAAAAAAAAAAAGGAGTCAATTTTATTTTATTTTATTTTATTCATTTATTTTTTTTTTTTGAGTTGGAGTCTCACTCCGTCGCCCAGACTGGAGTGCAGTGGCCGGGAGCAGTGACCGCAGCCTCGACCTGCTGGGCTCCAGAGATCCTTCCGCCTCAGCCTTCCAAGTAGCAGGAACTACAGGTGCGCGCTACCACGCCCGGCTGATTTTGATTTTTATTGTAGAGATGAGGTCTCGCCAAGTTGCCCAGGCGGGTCTTGAACCCGCGGGCTCAGACAATTCACTCACCTCAGCCTCCCAAGGCACAGGATTACAGGCTGAGCCACCGAGCCTGGCAGGAGTCAATTTCAATGGGCTCACTTTCAGCATTTTGAACAATTAAATCTCATGAAAACACACTTTCTGAGCAACTGCGATGCCTAAGACACGATGTAACCTATTTCACTCCGTACCATGACCCAGGGGATGAAAGTAATCTCTCACTTTCCGCCACTTCCTGTGGTCTGGGGCGGGAAATAACAGGACCCCGATGTGGCCGCAGGGGTGAGCGTGTGGCCTGCCGCCTAGACAAGAACAAGGAGTAGGGGAGTATGATGCCCCAAGACAGACGGAACTAGAAGTGGGATGAATTCCGACCGCCTCTGACCCACACACCCAGCAGCTGCAGGAGCTGATGAACTGCCTTTTGGGTATGTCAGGCTGGATTAGGTTTCGGTACTTGCAAGAGTCCTGATTAATGTAAAGAAAACAGTAAGAAAGCACTAATCGGCAGCTTTAAATGTGTATGTGTCCCAAGTTACAATTTTAGTTTGTACAACCGCAACATGACGGGTATATAGCAGTGCGAAACCTGAAGTTGACAGCCACCAAGAACAGGCACAACAGTCAGAAAGAAAAGACCAAGACTTGATCTTGCGAGTCAACATACACTAACAAAGGTGCAACTGTATGGCCACAAATGGGTCGAGAAGTTGTGTTTAGTGATGATGACACAGAACCCAGTTTGCAAGAGACAGGCCGTCCTCTCTGGAGACACACACAGAACTTGCCTTTTTAGCAGTTCGAGGCATCCTGGGTCCCTGTGTATTTTTTTCTTTGGATTCCAGAATTTTCAGCTTCTTTTTTTCTCTAATTTGCTTTGCCAGCTGCCGGATCTCCACCATCTCCTCATCTTCACTTTCAGATTCACTGTCATACTCGCCAGCAGCTGCTCTTAGCTCTTCTTCTTTTTCTAACTCCTCCAGTTTCTTTAAAAAAAAAAGAAGCACTGCAGTTAAAGAAAATGAACAACAAAAAACCCTCAAGTCGAGTGTGGTGGTGCGTGTTCAGGAGTTGTGAACCCAGCCTCTGAGGATGCAACCACCTGGTTCACTGCACCTGGCCCTATCTGTGTGCCAAGCTTGTCTCCCAGGAAGCAGGTCGAGCAGAGACGCAAGGATAACAGGTCGGAAACTGTTCTGTGCCAATTAATTCAAGGATAGGAAGTACAGGGACCACCGTCTCATCCCCGATGCTCCCAGGAGATACAAGAAACAAACTCGGTTCTGAGAGGCTGAAGTCGACCCATCACTTCAAACCAGACCGGTGCAGTAAGTCTCCTCCAGAGAAACACGGAAAGTTCTTGGTTCCTTCTGCTGCGATTCCACGCCACAGTCCAGTACCAACTGAGACGTAACTCATTGGCGAGCGAGTCAGTACCAAAAAACTAAACATTTAAAATACGCCCCTGCAGATCACACCCTAACAAATCCACCCGGGCAGGAACGCACCAGGCAGATGTGCAGAGCATAGCGGGGGTGACGCTGGGGGCAGGGCCACTCCTGCGATCACCTGCTTTGTGAGGCCCAGAGGCTGGGAAAGCAGCTGAGAGGCCAAGGAAGGGGCCCCGTGGTTCACACGCCTGGGAGGGTAGGTGACAGAACAGAAGGCGGAGGCCAGGAGGGGAGGGCTGGCTGATGAGGCCAGGGATGTGCACAAGTGGGACCGCAGCAGAGGCAGGGAGGCTGACACAGAGGCCACGCCACAGGCCCCCAAGTGGGTCAAGGCACCCTCCAGCTCAACCTCCAGAGCAGAGAAGGGTGTCGGAGAGCGGGGTGAGGAGCTCAGCGACACAAGGCTGAAACGGGAGTCGAGGCAGGCACTCGGGAGCTGAGTGGAAACACAAGGCCATGCAGGCAGCAGCTATCTAACACAGCATTTTCTCAAAAAGTTTGACTCAGGAGAGAAAATGGAAGGCACGGGGTTTGGGTAAGTTTCTGTCTTTTAAAAAGACAAGAGAATGTGTGGACATTGACATGCCACAAAAAAGCAAGCAGGCCGGGAAGTGAGGTAGGAGGAGGAAGATGTTCCGATAGAACGGAGCTCCTGGAAGAAGGGGTGGGAGCCCGGAGAGCCGCCGGGCCAAGCGGCTGGTCCTGCCTGCCGGGGCTGCGGGGGTGGGGAGAGCCGCCAAGGAGGCAGTGTCGGGTGGAGGGCAGGACGCGGGGGGAGCATGAAGGGGGCAGCGCAGGTGAGCCAGAGCCGCGGATCCACCCAACAGCAGCAGTGTTAAAAAAGCGACACAAACCTTCATGATGGCTGGGTCAATATAATCCGCTATATTATGCCCTTCCCAGATCTCCGGAATTATATCATGTTTTTCTGATGAATTCATTAAATCCCAGTACTCTAAAATTCAAAAAAGTCACATTTACAGCAGTTTTTAATATCTTCCAGTACTATGTGCCCCAAATAGTATAACTTACACCAAGTCTACAGAGGGCACACAGCACTTACATTCAACCTAAGCTTTCACTGACATCAAGCTCCTTTAACATTTCAACATGCTGTGAAAGCTACAGAAACAACCTGCTGATCCCAAAACAACAGACAACTACTGGAAGGAAGAACTCTCGGAGCCCTATCAACATGCAACTTTTAATCTTCAGGAAATTAAAAGTTGACAAACTCGCCAGAAGACGTTTACTCCTCAAGACCTTCCCCCTTTTATGAAATACTTTCATGTGCAACTGGTATTTTAAAATAATGATTACACTCCAGTCCTTACTTTGAAGATCCAAAATATAATCATCTCCCATTTCCAGCTCCAGATCTCGTTCCTGCAATGAAGAAAGAAACGTCGTCAGCTTCGTTTCACCTTTCAGGTCCACAAACACTTTGCTACCTCCTCGTGGGAAGCAAGTCCCCAATCCCGACGGTCCTTGTGGGGAATGAGAATTCCCTGGGGGAGAGCGGTGCCATGTCATCCCCATAGGCTCCCCTCTCCTGCTGGGGCAGCTGCTGTGACATCACCCCTTGGGGCTCTTCCCTGCTGGGACAGCTGCCACTGATCTATCCTCCTCTTTTTCCTCCTTCACTGTCACCTTTCTCTGAGGAACAGTGCCGTCTGAGCAGGCCTTCTGTTGGGGATGCACCGTTGTGCAGGGTGCCCGCCAGGGCCAGTCCTGCCTGGTACCCCAGCCTTCATGTCCCAACCCAGAGTGCCGGGGAGAGCTGTGGGGACGAACCTTTTTTCTTCTTGGGCTCCCCAGTGTCCATTCTCTTCTTGCGTGCTACCACTCCTTCGGGGATGAACGGGGGCCTCTCCTGGGAAGGTAGTATTGGAAAGACTTACATAAAATGGCTGCTGAACGAGAGGAAACTTAAAAACAAAAAACCTAGAAGCACAGTATCTATCTCCAAGGGAAATTAGAAACCAGTGTTGCTCTGGAGGAGAGGAGCAGGTTTCAGGACCACTTGGGGCAGGGAGGCCCCCACAAGCCGATTCCAAAATGTATTCAGGAGTGAGAGACCCAAGATGACCGAAAATAATCAAAGAAAGTGATGAGACACAACAGTATGTTAGTGAGCAAAAGAGATTTAGACCCAAACCCAGGTGTGTGTGACAATCTGCTGGAAAGACAAGCACGCGCCACTCAGCTCTAGGATGGAGGCCCACCCTCGCAGAGCTGGGTGTCCCCCTCCACCCCACAACAAAACAAACTCAAGACACAGTAAAGAGTACCCAAAAAGATGCAAATTTTTAAAAATGAAAGTACTGAAGAAAGACATTTTTTAAAAGTTTTTGGAATGGACAGTAGTCTTTCTATGCATGACACAAACCCAACAGACAGAAAGAAAATATTAATACATGTTAATAATATAAAAATGAACAATTTTTTTGAAGTTAAAAAAACCCCAAAACCCAAAAGACGTAACAAGAGGAAAAAAAAATTACAGGATGTAGGACAAGAATCCGATCTTAGTATAAAAATTATAAATCGGTCAGGCTCGGTGGCTCAGCCTGTAATCCCAGCACTTTGGGAGGCCGAGGCGAGTGGACTGCCTGGGTTTGCGGGTTCGAGACCAGCCTAGGCAACTTGGCAAGACCTCATTTGTACAATAAAATAAAAAATAGCCGGGCATGGTAGCACATATCTGTGGTTCTGGCTACTTGGAAGGCTGAGGCCAAAGGCTCGTCGGAACCCAGCAGGTCGACCCTGGGGCGGCCATGAGTGTGCATGCTACTGCACTCCAGCCTGGGTGAAGGAGTGAGATTCCAACTCAGAAAAAAAAAAATTTACAAATCAATGAGAAAAAGGTAAACAACCTGAAAAGGTCAATAAGCACATAAAGCGCTCAACTGCACCAGTTATTAAAGAAACACCACAATAAAACCATCTTTATGCTATGAGACAGAGCTGACGCCCAGCTAGGCTGATGACTCAGGGAAGTCTGTTGGAACGGAGACCAGGAAGGTGCCTGTAGAGACTCAAGGCCATACACGACACTCACAACAAACACCCACGAGAAGACACTAAGACACTCGCTTAAGGACATGCACCCCAGTGCTGCTTGTAAAAGCAAGGACATGAAAAAAATGTTTTGTTTTAGATTAGAGAATATAGTTTATTTAAAAACTATATTCTCTAGATACTAGAAACTAGATTAGAGAATATAGTTTACTTAAATTAGAGAGCGAGAGCAAGAGCGAGAGAGAAACTGATTCACCTCCCCAAGGTGGGGGAGGGGGCCAAAGCCAGGAAGCATGGCGACAGCCATTGCTCAAAGAGCACGTGGCCACACCAGAGTCTAGCGAGGTAATGGCCGGACATGAAAAATTTAAAGACTATAGCTGGCACAGTAGCTCATGACTGCAATCTCAGCACTCTTGAGGAGCCAAGGCAAAAGGACGGCCTGAACCCACAGGTTCGAGACCAGCCTGGGCTACATGGCGAGATCTCATCTCCACAATATAAAAAAATTAGCCAGGTGTGGTGACACATGCCTGTGGTTCCAGCTACTTGGAAGGCTAAGGTGGAAGGATCAATGGAGTCCAACAGGTCAAGGTTGTGGTGGCCATGAGCATGCCACTGCACTCTAGCCTGGGCAACAGAGTGAGACTCCTACTCAAAAAAAGAGAAAAACTTAAAGACGATAACTGACTTCCAATTATGGTTAAAAAACTTAAAAAAAAGAAAGGCTTCGATGTCATTTCTGGCAGGATAAACAAGCCTGAGGGCAGCAGTTGCCTCAGGCAGGGAGAGAGGCAGGTCCCAACGGCGCTCTGTTCCTGCCTCCTTCCCAGTTCTTCAGCACACACAGTGTAACTCTACTGAGGAGACCCCGAAGCCCACCGTGGAAACCACCATGTCCACGTGAACCTGGATCACAGCCCCGGAAGAGGTGCGTGGACGGCATCTACTGAGACTGCCCCAGCCGCACAGCAGCTGGTGTCAAAGATGCCCGAGGCCACCTTACCTTATCGTCCCTCTTGTTTGGGACAGCCAGGTGCAGTCTGTTCAGCACCTCGTTCACTTTATTTCCCCTCATTTTCGTTTCCACTCGATGAGCCAAAAGCCTATCGCAAGCCTAGCACAGTGAAGCAGAGGGCACAGTCACAGAGACGTCCCACAATCCCTCCTGCTGCATGTCCCCGGAAGGACCCAGAACCAGGGCCGCCCTCACTGACGTGTCATGCTGAACGTCCCAAGTATCTCCCTCAGTAGGTAATCAACATGGCAGACAGACTCTCTGAGGCCGACCCCGAAATCGCCCTGGGAAGGTTCTCCTTCTGCACACCGGGCCTCCTCACACTGCAGGGACCCTCTGCGCAGATGCATGGTCCCCTCCAAAGGCCCTTCCCGAGCTCGCTGCAACGCTACCCTCAGGACGCGAACTGGAGCCGGGCACCCACGTCCAGCGGCGGGGTCGAGGGGTCTTTGTATTTCAGGTAGAAACACCGTCATGAAGGAGAATGTCATCAGGACGGCTTGGAGTCTAACAGGAACACCTTTCCACGCGGTTCCTGCTTTTCAAACCCTTTTCCCCTTCTACTTTGCAGCAACTACTTCCCACTGTAGTTGCCGCAGGAACAGTAGAGGGGCAAAAGACACCGCAGTAGGGTGGAAGTGCCAAGTACCCCTCTAAACCCCACCATTCGCCTGGGTGGGTCCCTGAGGGGGTTTCAGCCCATCCTGTGCTCCAGTGCACCACCGTGTCTGGCTGTGGGTGCTCCACATGCTCATAACACCTATTTTCCCCTGACAACTGACTTTTATAAAACAAGAGAAAGACAGGAAAAAGACTGATACCTTATCAAAGGAAGAACTGACCTCTGTTTTTACTTGAATGACACCTTCCTCAGTCAGGGTGCTGGTTTCTATTACAGGGAATCCTTCAGCCTGCAAATCTATAAATATTTTCTGGGAATACAAAGGAAAAATGCAATGCATTACTGATTTCCAGTGCCCTAAGAACTGCACTATTTGCAAATGGAGGTTGCAAATGCGAACTGATCAATATCTGTGGTTTCATCTTAACTCCCAAAGAACAGCCACCTCCTTAATTCTTCTGTGATTAAGAAAATACAGCCGGGTGCAGTGGCTCATGCCTGTAATCCTGGGACAAGGCAGAGGTGAGAGGATTACCTGAGCTCAGGGGTTTGAGACCAACGTGAACAACACGGTGAGACCTCGTCCCTATAATAAATCAAAAAATCAGCCGGACATGGAGGTGCATGCCTGTGGATCCAGCTACTTGGAAGGCTGAGGAGAAGGATCACCTGAGTCCAGCAGATCAAGGCTGTGGTGGCCGTAAGCTTGCCACTGTCCTCCAGCCTGGGCGACAGAGACTCTGACTCAAAAAAAAAATGTACAAATGGGTGAGAGTGGTGTCAGCACCATGGCTAACTAGAAGCCCCCCGGGTTCATCCCCCCTCACAAAGACAGTCAAACAGCAAATGGACAACTATGAACTGACAGAAGCAGCTGAGGGAATGCCAGAGTGCATCAGAAGAGCCAAATGTGAGATGGCCACAAAGCCAAAAAAAAGGCACTGGGCCCTCCCTCATCTCACTGACCACTGGGTCCTGCCCCTAAAGGGTAGAATCTCAGCTACAACCTGGGCCCTGGGCCTGAGCAGCTAAGGGATGCCTCAAAGTCACAGATCCTGGAGCTGTGGACTAGCTACATTCAACCCTGCAACAGAGAGTGAACCCGTACCCCACTGCTCAGGTTCCACAATAGGTCCATGGGACTCCGAGCCTAGGACCCTGGTCCCACAGCGGCTCCAAGATCCTGCACCTGGAGTCCAGGACCACTGCAGCTCCTACACGCCTGCACCACTGCGGGGTCCCACCTGCACCACTGCCGCCAGAGACTTCCAGGGCTGAGGCCACAGAGGCATGCACAGCGACTGCTGATGTTTACTGCAGCCGAAGAAGCTGCACAGAGACCACATTACCGCTCCTATCCAGAGAGTCACTACGCCCTCCCCAAATGACACCATAAAGCCCAACGGCAGGAGAAAACCTTTCTCTACAAGAGCCACTCTAGGAAGGCCGGAAGAGGCAACTGCTCTACTAGGTGCACAGACATCAACCCAAGGACACAGGAAACATGGAAAAGCAAGGAAATAAGACACCAAAGAACATCGTAATTGTCAAGTAACAGACCCCAATGAAAAGGAACAGACCCCAATGATAAATTACCAGGAAAAAATTCAAAATGATGACTTTTTAAAAGGAAACACACTGAGATATAACAAAAACAGACAATTAAATAAAATTAGGAAAACAAAAGAACCAATCAGAAATCCCGCAGCTGAGAATCCAGGGAATGAGATAAAAATACAACCGAGCACTTCAACATTAGATTTGATCCAGCAGAAGAAAAATACCACTGTTCTTGATGACAGGTTCTTGAAATCACTCAGGGGAAAAATAAGTAAGAATGAAAGAGAATGAAAAGAGCCTACAAGACTTACTCAGTACCATTAGGTGAACAGACATTGGGGCGTTCCAGAAGGAATAGAGAAGGGAAAAGGTGCAGAAAATCTATTTAATAAAATAACAGCTGAAAACATCCCAAGTATGGAGAAAGATATGGACATCCAGAACCAGAAAGCTCAGAGATGACCAAATAAAGTCAACCCAAAAAGGTCTTCCCTGAGGCACATTATAGTCAAACTGGCAAAAAGAAAAGCTGCCAGCCAAATGTACCATACCCAGCAAAGCTATCCTTCAAAAATTAGGAAGAAATAAAGTCTTCGCTGGATGTGGTGGTGCACTCTGGGAGGCGGAGGCGAGAGGATTGCCTGAGTCCATGGGTTTGAGACCAGCCTAGGCAACATGGTGATAGCTCGTCTCTACGATAAATCAAAAAATGAGCCGGGTGTGGTGGTATGCACTTGTAGTTCCAGCTACTCAAGAGGCTGAGGTGGAAGGATCGCCTGAGCCCAGCAGGTCGAGGCTACAGTGACCATCAGCCTATCATTGCACTCTAGTCTGGGCAACAGAGTGAGACTCCTACTCAAAAAAAGAGAAAATCTTTCCTAGAAAAGCAAAAACTGAGGTAATTCAGCGCCACTTTGAAGAAATGCTCAAGAAAGTCTTACATCGGAAGTGAAAAGACAACAAACACTATGATGAAAAAGTATAAAACTCATCAGTAGAGCAGATATATAATGGAGAAACAGAAAAGAATCAAACCATATCACTGCAGAAGGCCACCAAGCTGCAATGAAAAATAAAAAGGCAAAGAATATCTAAAACAACTGGAAAAAGTTAGCAATATGACAAGAGTAAGCCCTCATCTATTAGTAATAACCTTGGACATCAAACAGATTAAATCCCACCTAAAATACAGACCAGTTGATTGGATTAAGAAACATGACCCAACTACACGTTGCCTAAAAGGAATTCACTTCAGCTATAAACACACACAGGCTGAAAGCAAATACTTGGGAAAATAGATTCCACACAATTAGAAACCAAACGTGAGCAGGAATAGCTACACTTCGATAAAACAGACTTCCAGTCAAAGACAGTAAACAGAGACAAAGAAGGTCACTCTGTCTTGAGAAAGGGATCAGTAATGCTAGAGGACTTCAATACCCTACTCTCCACATTGGCTAGAACATCGAGACAGAAAACCAACGTACGTAGGACTGAAGTGCATTGCAGACCAAATGGACCTAACAGACATCAACAGAACATTTCTTCCAGCAACTGCAGACAAGACATCCTTCTCCCCAGCGCATGAAACACTCCACAGGGCAGACCACATCTCAGGCCACAAAATCAATCTTAGCCAATTTTAAAAAAGTGAAATCATATCAAGTATCTTTTCTGACCACAACAGAATAAAGCTCTAAAAATCACTAACGAGGAATTTTCAAAACTGTACAAATACATGGAAATTAGAAACAGGCTTCTGAATGACCAACAGGTCACTAAAGAACTCAAGAAGGAAACAGAGAAGGCAAAAGTGATGCCGATGCTACCGGCCCAGGACCCCGACTGCAAACCACCACACCCTGCACGCTTCTCAGCGCACTCGTCAAGGGAGGGATGCAGTTTCTGTTCCCTCGAAAAGTGATGCCCAGCAATGCTGCCTGCCTCCTGGAAAGCGACAGCAGTCACTGCTCCCTCATGGTTCCAGAAAGCCCACGTTACGTGCGCTTACCGATCCTTGTTCTCCTTCACCCAGTCACCAACTGCCCAAACTCATTTAGCCACATAACCTCTTCATGAAGTGACATGCATGGGCACCCATCTTGAACAGTCCTTTCTTACATAATCACCTCTTTTAGATGTTTCCACACACTCAACAGAGTAGTATTAGGAAACCTATGTTTTAGTTTGCCTTAGGTTTTTACAATGTCATGCCACTGAACAACTTAGGATATTATCTCAACTTAAAGAAAATACTGGACTAGTATAGCTAGAATTCTTCTTAGTGTTGGCTGTCTGAGAGAAATCAGAATTGGTAAGCAAGGAATATTCAAAACATTAGGGTGACTTACCTGATCATCTTCAGAAAGTTCAGCTATTCTCTTCACATCACATTTGTTGGCTACAACTATAAGAGGCTAGACAAGGAAGAAAAATAATGACATTATGACTTTCACACTGCAGGATGTAAAGGAAAATGTGAGTTATCACACTTACCTTGTTGATGAAGAGAGGCCTGATGTTCTGGAAGAGCTCTAGCTGCTCCTTCAGCCCATGACCACACTGCTCAGACAAATCCATCACGTACAGAACCGCAGCGCGCAGGTGGGCCAGCGCGGTGATGGCCTGCATCTCGATAGTGTTCCGATCCTCCAAAGGGTGATCCAGAATCCCCGGAGTGTCGACAACCTAATGTCCAGACCTCGTCACGAAAAGCACGCTCACAGGCTTCTCATCCAACACATCCCAGAAGTCACTCACACGTGCCCAACCAAACAAACCAGACCGCTGAAATGCGGGCCCCCAACTGAATATAACAAAAGCAGCGAGAACAGTACATACTCTTCAAACACTAAAAAGGGGGGAGGATCTCTGCAAGGCTCAACGAAGCATTAGCCGATGACCTGGAGAGAAATGGCTCCTCTTTTCGTTAGCGACACCACGAACTCTGACAACTGGGATTGCCGGAAACCCTCCCATGCTTAGGAACTACTTTCTTCGCCATCTATAAAACTAGACTGTAGAAACAGATTGTTCTATGCTTTTATTAGTAAAAATGCCATTTCTGATGACAGAGTTAAGAACGATACAAAGAGAAGCTCATCTTATGTTCGCATGATGCAGAAAGCCACACTGGCAGCTGGCGGCTGTGCCTGAGACAGGAGACGCCAACGGCACTGGCGCAAGCCCAGGGCTCAGCTGAGTTTTCCTTGTGGTTCTTGGTGACCCCAGAGACTCTATCTTCCCCTCACCCAGGAACTTCCCTGGAGGGTCTGCTCATAGGAGATGCTATACCAAGTGCACTGTGAAATGGACAAAACTGTGGGTCTTTAGAAATCCCCAAAAACCAAACTCCTTTTTTCCCGGTATTGCTATCTTGCCCAGACTGGAGGGCAGTGGCGCAACATGGCTCACGGTAGCCTTGACCTCCTGGCTGAAGGGATCCACCCCTCCTCAGCTTCCCAAGTAGCTGGGACTACAGGTGCGCACCACCACACCTGGCTCAAAATCAAATTCCATCAACCAAAAACCACAACGCTTGTTCTCTGTTTAAAGGCAAGATTCTCACCTGCCACCGCAGATACTTGTAATCCATATGACCCACAAACAGCGACTTGGTCGTGAATGCATAGGGCTGGACATCCACGTCTGCTCTTGTTACCTTAAATAAAACAATAAAAATTTCCACAATTAAACAAGTTCTACGCCTCATTTCCTCTCCACACAAACATGGCATCTACATGGTACCAAGACTCACCTTTAGGAGAATAACACCAGAGACCTCACATGGTGCAACTAGGCGAGGCAGGAGTTACCCGCGTGGATGAATGGCCCGGCGCCCCTCCCCTCAACCATCACGAGGGTGCAGGACACATGTGAGAACGCGGCAGGGGAGGATGGTCCCAGCGCCTCTTCCCTCCCACAGTGCCCGGCAGCGTTCCCGATGCTGATGGAAATATTCAGTCTGCACGATCCACATGGGGCCCCGCAGCTCAGGCTGCCAACAAGCTCTTGACACAGTTCCCTACTGAGGAGTCAATCTTTCATTTTGTTAATTAATTTCAACCACAATTTTATTTATTTGTTTATTTACTTATTATGATGTTTTTGAGTTCAAGTCTCACTCCATCGCCTAGGCTGGAGTGCAGTGGCACACTCACGGCCACCCCAGCATGGACTGCTGGGCTCCAGCAATCCTTCCACCTCAGCCTTCCAAGTAGTTGGAACTACAGGCGTGTGCTACCATACCTGGCTAATTTTTTTTTAATTTATTGCAGAGATGAGGTCTCGCCAAGCTGCCCAGGCTAGTCTCGAACCCCCGGGCTCAGGCAACCCACTCAACTCGGCCTCTCAAAGTGCTAGGATTACAGGCTTGAGGCACCGCACCTGGCCTTATGCTAATTTGAAATGTTTATATTTTGCTTTCGGTTCACTGGACATTTTATTTTATTTATTTTTATTTATTTATTTTTTTTTTTGAGTTGGAGTCTCACTCTGTCGCCCAGACTGGAGTGCAGTGGCCGCTCCCGGCCACCGCAGCCTCGACCTGCTGGGCTCTGGCCATCCTTCCGCCTCAGCCTTCCAAGTAGCCGGAATTACAGGAGCGCGCTACCACGCCCAGCTGATTTTTTTATTTATTGTAGAGATGAGGTCTCGCTGCCCAGGCGGATCTCGAACCAGCGGGCTCAGGCAATCCACTCACCTCAGCCTCCCAAAGGCGCGGGATTACAGGCTGAGCCACCGAGCCCGGCTCACTGGACATTTTAAAAACAAGCTTTACACAACAGATGTAATCCTTTCCCTTGGGTAGTATCCCTAGGCTTCCTGGTTTGTTTTGTTTTTGAGATGGAGTTTCACTGTCCCCATGCTGGAGTGCAGTGGCACACTCACGGCCACCCCAGCATCAACCTGCTAGGCTCTGGTGGGCCTTCCGCCTTAGCCTTCCAAGTAGCCAGAACTACAGGTGCATGCTACCATGCCCAGCTAATTTTTTTTTATTTACCCTAGAGACGAGGTCTTGCCAAGTTGCCTGGGCTGGTCTTGAATCTGCAACCTCAGGCAAATCACTCACCTCAGTCTCCCAAAGTGCTGGGATGACAGGCTGAGCCACCAAGCCCGGCCTCAACCACAGTTTTAAAAGCCACCTAGGACAGAGGCAGCCCATTAGCCCCAGAGCTCAGGTCTGTTGTGGCAGGTTCAAAGTTGACAAATGTTTGAAACATCAGTAAGGACCCTGAAGAGCTGCACTTGTCACCATGTCATGGTAATCTGTGGACAAAATCAAACCTACAAATCTGCTTCAGAGCGAAAGGGCTCTCGGCACTAAGGAAGTTGTAACGTGACAGTTTTCTCAGCAGGCGAGTTGTGGCTGACTGCAAATGCACATACTAATGCTCCTTCTCCTCTTCTCGGATACCCTGAGCTCAGCCAAACTGTCCTCAAGCACTAAATTACCAAGTCTCCTAGGTGTCGCCCTTGAATCCTGATCAACAGGCTCACCCAAGGAAAAGAGACCCGGCAACGCCCCTTACAGCGGGCCACGCGCATCACCAGAAAGGTGACCCAGCAGCCAAGGCAACCAAGCACCCGGAGCCGCGGCAGACAGAAGCCCTGGCTCAGTGAGCGCCATCTGCTTCGGGAGCCCAACGGCCCGGCCACCACCAGGCCGACAGCACAGCAGGAGAGTTCTCTCGTCGCCACAGAGATGTGTTTCTGTGCTTCACAGCCCTCAGAAACGGCAGGACCCACCCCGGAGCCAAAAGTGACGGCTCCTGTGAGAGCAATATACATCTAGGTTCAGACAAGAGTTGCTGAGCTGAGAGGAATCGGGCGGGTCCAGGTGTCGGGTCCTCCTCAGACCAGGGCAATGCTTACGAAGGACACACTCGGCCCAAAATATCATCAAGGCCCCACCCCATGCAGTCAGAATCGTGCAGCCAGTGACTGACGTGCTCAGATGATCTGCTATGCAATAAGAAACAGACCAACCTTATTGATGAAGCTGGACTTCCCAACATTCGGGTACCCACACAAGAGCAGAGTCCTTGTATTTGGATCGATGGTCGGCAAACGAGACAAATGCTGACGCACTACGAAAAGTTCAAATTGAAAAATTAAGAAATTCAAAGTTTAAGATGGCTTGAAATTTTCTTTTCAACTTAGTTACACTCCAGGCCTGTGGTCAGCATAATCTCATCTCAACGTTTTAAATTCAAAAGTGATGCAGAAAGTATAAATTAAGGAAAAAAGAATCAGTGGCAGAGATGAATGGTATCCACATGGTACACACAATAGTATTTCCCTTGACTTCCTAAGGGCAAAGGCAGGGCCACCAACTCATCTGGAAGTGCCAGAAGACCATCGTCAGTGAGACGGCATTAGGAAAACACTATGGTCTGAAGCCTGCGTGCCATGACACTGTGACTGCCGTATGGGCTGTTTCCGTCTAGCTGCCTCATCTGTAACACAGTTCTAGAACGGCACCCACTGGGTGATCAGAAGACCAAACAGATCTGCAGGAAAGCACTTTCCAAGCATCAAAAGGAGAACAAAACTAAACAAGGCAAAATAATTCATAGTTTGAAAATACATGCATGTGAGAAAGCAAGTAATCGTTTCAATGAAATCCTACTGCATTCATTCAGAAATTGTCCTTTAAATTAAACCATTTGCTGGGCACAGCAGGCTCAAGTCTGTAATCCCAGCACTTTGGGAGGCTGAGGCAAGAGGATTGTCTGAGTCCAGGGGTTCAAGACCAGCCTGGGCAACTCGGTGAGACTTCATCTCTACAATAAATAAAACAATTAGCTGGGCTTGGTGGCGTGCACCTGTAGTTCCAGCTACTTAGAGGTAGCTTCTGTTGAGGCAGAAGGATCACCTGGGTCCAGCAGGTCAAGGCTGAGGTGGCCATGAGCGTGCCACTGCACTCCAGCATGGGCGACAGAGTAGAAACTCAAAAAACAAAAAACAGAAAAGCAAATAAATAAAATCATTCAGGCTGGGTGTGTAAGTCCAGCACTTTGGGAGGTGGAGGTAAGAGGATTGCCTGAACCCAGGGTTTCAAGACCAGCCTGGGCACTTGGCAAGACCTTGTCTCTACAATAATCAAAAGTAGCCAGGCATGGTGGTACATGCCTGTAGTTCCAGCTATTTGAAAGGCTGAGGCAGAAGGACCACCTGACTCTAGCAGGTTGAGGCTGCAGTGGCCGTGAGCATGCTAATGCATTCCAGCCTGGGCAACAGAGACTCCAACTCAAAAAAAAAAGTCAACAATGGGCAAAACTATGAGCCACTTTTTATACATTTCAGTACTTTCTCATGATTTTTGTCTATCCCTTGCTTATTCAAAGTGAAAAACCTAAAATTTTTCTTTTTTTTACAATCACATAAGAAAGCATTTATTTGAAGTTTAACACGGAATCATACAAATAATGTGCATAAACACAAATTCACACAGAGTCGTAACACAGACAGCAAAGGACAAAGTGAAAACAAAGAAGACTAGCTGGCAACTATATGCAGTTGGACACAGCTGTGTCTTGCACACTAGGAAGTCCTTTACAAAATAACCACCTCAGATCAACAGAAGACCAATCTCCAACGTCGTCCTGCAAGACGGCCTACTTTTCAGACACCTCCTCCTACTGCCCCCCTCAAGCTGCCTCGCCGGAAGGGCTGCTGGCCGCCTTAGACTGCACATCCCTGTCCATGCCCACAGTTCCCAGGGTGACGCCCAGGGTAATCATGTCCACCATAGCCACTGAAGTTTTGGCCACTCCCATGGGCACTACTGTACTTTCCACATCCCTGACCACAAGAGTTGCCAATCCTTGGTTCCAGTTTGGGCCCTTGGCCTTGCTGCTGCTGCTGGAAAAACATACAACTTCAAAATGTGCTATTAGTTTTAAGCATGATAAGCACCAGGCACTGTTACAGTAGAAATTAGCCTATCAGAGTTTCTTACAGGTCAAACTAGGAAAAATAACTTGCCCCTTCCCCGCCAAGAGAGGGTCCGCAGCAAGGACCCATCACCGAGCAGAACGCACCAGCACCACTGCTGGGACGCACGACACGCACCTTGCTCCAGATACTCCAAGCTCTGCTTCTGCCTCTTGATCACAGTGCACATGCGCCCCAGGGCCGCGCGCTTCAGCTGCTTGCAGCGGTACAGGGAGTCCCCATACTTCATGAGCCGCACGTAGTCTTTGGCAACACTGCAGAGAGAAAGCCAAGGCCCATGTTTGCTCCTTCTTCACAGCCATCTAAGATACTGCAGTAAGAAAGTACCTTACTTGTCCACTAAATTTTTGGCAATATTTATTTGTCCCAGAGCCAGCTTGTAGTGATCCTTATCGTAGAGAATATTCATCAAATCAGCATAGAATGGGTGGATATCCTACAACAGACACAAACAGGCCTGGTCACTTTGGGACATATGTAAACAACATTCCTATACGTGGAGAACAACTCCCCTTTCCTCACTTTCCAGACCTGTAGCATCTCCTCCCCGGTGCCCTCTCCAAGCCAGTGGCCCTGCGATTTAGTCCTCTGAGAAAACAGAAGCCACAGCGGGGAGGCGGGAGCCAAGGGCCACTGCTGCCTGTCCACCTATGTGGTGACCCAGCCAGGGCCACCCCCAGCCCCACAGGCACCCTCTTGCGTTCAGAAACGGAGTGCCAGAAATTCTTCCCTCTGCCTGACCATTCCCACCAGCCTGCAAACAAGCCGTTATTTCCTGATCTTTAAGAAAAAGGTACAACCCCACAGTTCTTTCAACCCCTCGTCTTTGTTCCCAGGAGACAATGTGTCTTTTCTGCCCTCTGTCTCTTGAACCTGCTCACCAGAATGTCCATCGCTCCATCAAAACAGCTCACAAGCACCCCGAGGCCTCCCAAGGGCCAGTCATGACTGAGCCGTACACACTGGACCGCGCCACACCCGCCTCCTCAGACCTGCTCCTCCTAGCTTCCCCATCTCGGGGGCCGGTGCACCACAGTCCAAGGCGCTAAGGCCCTAAACTCAACGCCCTCTCTGTTCCTTTTCTCAGCCCCACGTCCCCCCCATGAGTATGTCCGGCTTGCTCCTGCTCCCAGTGATCCTGAAACCAGCCACTTCTGAATACTGTTACCATGGCCACAGTTATCGAAGTCACCACCGTCTTTCACCCTCACTGGGATGGCTGCTCTGATCTAATATCTCCCGACAGGCCTCGCTTCCTCTAAAAGGTAAGTTTAAAGCCCTCCAAAGGTTTCCTTAAGGACAAAACCCAAAATCCTGCCCAGGTGACTTTGCCCGCCCTGCCCCCCTCCTCCTGTCTTCTGGTCTCTGCTCTCACATGCCTGCACCACGCCCTGGGTCTTGCCCACCCTGCCCCCCTCCTCCTGTCTTCTGATCTCTGCTCTAACATGCCTGCACCACGCCCTGGGTCTCCGTGACACCTGCTGTTTCTTTGTCTATAGGGTCTACTCTCCTCAGGTCTCTGCTGTATCTCCCTGCACAGATACCCACTACTCCTCTTACATGGCTTCAGTGCTCACACCTGACACAACATACATTTTCGCATTTACTATCTTTCCTCCACTGGAATGACAAGTGTTATTTTTTACCACTGCTGTATTTCCAGTGCTTAGAACAATCTCTGACACATAAGTATTCAGTGAACCACAACTTAATCTAACACTCTACTCCAACTGTTTTCAGATAACTAACTCTAGCTTTAAAAACATAATAGAATTAATACATTTGAACTCTCCTACTACTAATGTGAAAAAAACAATACCGAGGATGAAAAAGACAAACGTCTTTAAAAAACCCCACAGAAATCTGGCTAGGCATGGTGGCTCACATCTGTGACCCCAGGGCTTGGAAGGCTAAACCAGAAGGATTGCTTGAGGTCAGGAATTCAAGACTAGCCTGAGAAACATAGTGAGGCCCTGTCTCTACAAAAAAACTTAGCAGCACATGCCTGTAGTCCCAGGTACTTGGGATGCCAAGGCAGGAAGATCACCTGAGCACAGGAGTTTGAGCACTGAGCAATGACCATGCCATTGCACTCCAGTCTGGGCAACAGAGACCCTAACTCAAAACAAAACAAAACAAAAAAACCATAGGATTCTGATACTAAGTAACTAAGTTTACTAAAAATCAAGTGTTTCCCAGGAACAAATTAGTTTAGAATAAACTCTTTTTTTTTGAGTTGGAGTCTCACTCCATCGCCCAGGCTGGAGTGCTGTGGCATGCTCATGGCCTCCCCGGCATCAACCTGCTGGGCTCCAGTGACCCTTCCACCTCAGCCTTCCAAGTAGCCGGAACTACAGATACACACTACCAAACCTGGCTAATTTTTTTTTTTTTTAATTTATTGTAGAGATGAGGTCTCACCAAGTTGCCCAGGCTGCTCTCAAACCTGTGGGCTCAGGCAATCCTCTCACCTCAGTCTCCCAAGTGCTGGGATTACAGGCCTGAGCCACCGCGCTGGGCTGAGTAAACTCATTCTTAATCTCTTTTTTCATTCTCAGATACTCTCTAGTACTTGGTTTTTCCCCAGAAATCATTCATTTATTCAACAATCATCTATTGTGTCAAACCATAGGCAGAGATAACATAATGCCTGCTGCCTTTTATTTTTTAACACGCGTTTTCAAAATAAGCTGCTATTGCTTTTTTAAATACAAAAGAAAATATTGCCATTTAAACCACCTATTCTCTCTGCCTCTACCTACTACAGGCGGGATATGGCAGGTTTAGGCTGTGAGACTGTACTGCGAGCCTCACGTTCTCCACAACGGTAGGTCACCTTGCAACCACGTCACCCAACACGGAGCGTCATGAGGACTTGGTCACAGACTCCGCTACGCAGTTTCTACTCTTGCTTTTCTATAGCTAAAGAAACAGGCAAGCTGCAATATGCAGCAGGAAGGAGTGGGCCCTTCCGGCTTAATGTAGAAGTCACAGCTCCCGGGGATCTCTTCTGGCCAGTAAAGAAATCGGTGGGTGTTGAGCTGGCCATCACCGGCTGCTGAAGCAGCAGACCACCAAGTGGACCTTAAGTCACTAACCCAAGGCTGAGCCCAGAGAAAAAAGCAGCTTTGGAAGGAGGAGGAAAAGTGGAAGCCCAGATAAACCAGCTTCCCAACCCCCAGATTCCAAATGGTTGACCGGCTCCTGCAGGCCCAGGACTCACTCAGCCAGGCGGAAACAGCTCTGGGCTGCCTCAGACGGGGATTGGTAGGGAAAGAAAGAAACCAAGGAATCGGAAAAACCCAGGTTCTGTGCCCACCCTTGCCACTAACTTACCAAGTGATCTTGTTTCCCTTTCTGCCAAATCACCACACCAAACTGGCTAAACATGGATTCTCTGAAAACTGCCATTCACATAACCATACAGGTCCCCCAGAGTCACTTACATCCAATTTGGGGAAATCTGTTAGAATCTGCGAGAGTCTGTCATGATAGTTCTGTTGAGTAAATTTGACTTTTCTCATGTAAAAATGTCTAATGCGATGAATTTGGTAATGTTTATGAATAACTGTTGGAGTCTTTCGCTGAGTCTTTGATAAGGTCAAGTCGATGAAGTCCTGTAATGAAAGAAAATAAGACAAAATTACACCCGAAATGCCTATTTTTCATCGACTTCTTTGAAACCTTCTTAAAACACGAATACCTCACAGTACTACATATTTCAAATTTAAAAAATTTACTCTTTCTAACAAAATATTTTATATACAACTTGCTCATCTTCATCGTTTCTGGCCTTTAAGAACCATCAAGTTTTGGCTGCTAAAATAAAATTTACCTCATACTTTCTCGATGCTATTTTACCTTCCAAATACTTAAGAACCTTTGAAACTTATGTAATCAGAGAACGCAAGTGTAAATTTTAAAAAATAGTGAAGACAAAGAAACAAGCCTGCCATTTTTTTTTAAAGTCAGAGTCTCACTGTCGCCCAGGCTGGAGTGAAGTGGCACGATTATGACCACTGCAGCCCCATCCTGCTGGGCTCAGGTGATCCGTCTGCCTCAGGCTTCCAAGTAGCTGAAAGTACACCTGCCAACACACCAGTTAATTTTTTAAAAATTGATGTTAAAGACGAGGTCTCATCAAGTTGCCCAGCCTGGTCTCAGACCCTTGGACTCAGGCAATCCTCTAGTCTCTGCCTTCCAAAGTGCTGGGATTACAGGCGTGAGCCACCACACCCAGCTAAGCCTGCAATCTCAACATGCATACTTTGGCTTTGAAAGTATGTAAAATAACAGGTAAAACTAAAGTCCAATATATCTAATTTCCTAAGACGATGTAAGGTGCAAACAGTTGGTGCTTCTCTTTAATAAGGACCCATCCCTGGGCTTCCTCAATCCCACATATCTAGCCATGTGTCTAGTCATTTTCTCTTCAACACTTCTACTGATTCAACAATATTGATTACTTCCTGCAAAGAATGATAGGGCTATTCAGGTGCTGAAGATAAAAATAATGAATAAGACATTGTCCCTTTCTTCAAGGAACTCAGGGTCCAGCAACAGAGACAAGTAAACAAGTAGCCACAACACAGTGCAGGTCAAGTCCTGCACTACCAGCAGCGCGAATGGTCTCCCCTCCGGGCCCACGTGAGAGACAAGCAAACAGGTGGCACAACATAATGCAGGTTGAGTCTTGCACTATGAGGGGCGTGGTGCACGGTTTCCCTTCTGGGCCCACCAAGACCCCCTGGACACACTTCTCCACCCAGTGGAGTTTCCGCCCTGAGGGGCCGGCTCAAGAGCTACCTGCCTCTGGAGGTTTCCCCTGCCTCTCTCATCACCACTAGCCATGCACTTCTGTTCTCCCATTCCAGACATTCCTCTGCACAACACTGTTTCTGGCAGTTGTAAGTGCTTCTACTCAGAGTTCACAGGCTGGAACTGGAACTTACGCATTTTTCTAACACAGTCCTGGACACTCAGTTAACAGCTTCTAGAACAAACTAAAGCTCACAATCTTCTGATGTGATTTTTTTTTTACTTCCAATCACCAAGGACGACCACCCCCATCTCTGAACAAGTAAACGCTGTCCTCTAGAATACAAAGCTCACTAAGAGCAGAGATGGAGGGCGGACTGCTACTGTATCCCCGAGTTCTCCAACAAGCCCACTAGTGAACAAAGAGCTTATGATCTAGAACATGCTAACCCAGATAAGCAAAAACTACGTGCAAATTCCTTCAACAAACCTGAGAGATGGTTGAGAAAATGCCACGAGGACCAGAAATGCAAATAAGACACGCTCGCAACACTTGAAAATACTGCAATCTGCCGGGCTCGGTGGCTCAGCCTGTAATCCCGCGCTTTGGGAGGTCGAGGTGAGTGAATTGCCTGACCCCGCGGGTTCGAGACCCGCCTGGGTAACTTGGCGAGACCTCATCTCTACAGTCAATCAAAAAAACCAGCCGGGCGTGGTAGCGCGCGCCAGTAGTTCCGGTTACTTGGAAGGCGAAGGCGGAAGGATCGCCGGAGCCCAGCCGGAGCCCAGCCGGTCGAGGCTGCGGTGGCCGGGAGCGGCCACTGCACGCCAGTCTGAGTGAGAGTGAGAGTCCGACTCAAAAAAAAAAAAAAAGAAAAGAAAAGAAAAGACTGCAATCTAACAAGAGACCTGCCAGAATGATCGTCGGGAAGGGAGGGAAGTGGAACAGGATTCTGCCGCGAAGGTCCGTGTGAGCTCCCACAAAGCCTTCCCAGGCAAGCGCGGCCCGTCGGGGAGACACCCGGGCACAAGTCCCTCTGCAGCGGCCTCCGAGGCCCAAGAAACACGTGTGGCCGCCCAGGCTTTCGCCTGAGTAAGGGCAGCCCTACAAACCAAGCCGAACGCTCGCTGCATAAACACGGCACTTCTTCAAAGTCCTCACACCCGACGCCTTTCAGACTCGCTCTAAAAACTCAGTCCGTCCCGTATGTTTGCAAAGAGCCGCGTTTCCCAAACCCAGCAGTGAAAGAGAACGACTTAAAGACGAAAGTGTCAAGCCAGGAGAGCAACGGAGGGAGGCTTCGTGAGAGGGCCGGAGCTCCGCGAACCCAGAATCCGAAGGCTCATCGCCCGCCGGGGGGCTTCCTCCCCCGCACGCGGGGTCCCGCTCCGCCCAGCCATCTCGTCACCTCCGGGGCTCTCCAGAGAGCCCCCTCTGGGTGGACTCCGGCCACTGGGCGCACCCTGGTGTCTGGGTGGGCCCCAGTTTTGGTGGACACCGGCTTCTGGGTGAATCTCGGCCTGTGGGTGCACCCTGGCCTCTGGTGGACACCGGCCTCGGCGGGGGCTGCTCCCGAGTACCCGGCGAGCAGGCGGGGCCCGCCCCGGGGACAGGCGGGCAGAAGGCGACCCCTCGCCCACGGCTGCAGGCCGGGACCCTTCCCGGCGAGGTCGGAGAGGTCAGCCCGGGGTCGCCTACCTTGGCGCACGGCACCACCGTAATCTTCTTGAAGTTGTAGTGCGCCATGCCGGCAGCGGAGCACGAGG